TCCCCCCCCCCCCCCCCCCCCCTCCAAAAAATAAAAAATTAAAATAGCCTGCTATTAGTACATAACTCAAACAACATTAGTTTTTTTAATAGTGTTGTAGCCTTTGTCAGATCAGAGAGTTTTTACATGTAGGAGGGTGGGGCCAATCACAATAAGCACCTAAGGGAGCAGTGAAAGACGACTGATTGAATACATGTGAGAATATTTGGTTGATGTGATTGAATGTGAGAACGTTTTGTTAATGTGATTGAATACATGCCATTCATTGGAGAATGTTTGGTTGATTGTGATTTAATTCATGTAAGAATGTTTGGAATCACAGACAATTTGTTACGTTTTAGAGGACAAACAGTACGTGTGTTGTTAACAGTATGTACTTCAGTGTGCCGAGGACAAACAGTACGTGTGTTGTTAACAGTGTGTACTTCAGTGTGCAGAGGACAAACAGTACGTGCGTTGTTAACAGTATGTACTTCAGTGTGCAGAGGAAAAACAGTACGTGTGTTGTTAACAGTATGTACATCAGTGTGCAGAGGACAATCAGTACGTGTGTTGTTAACAGTATGTACTTCAGTGTGAAGAGGACAAACAGTACGTGTGTTGTTAACAGTGTGTACTTCAGTGTGCAGAGGACAAACAGTACCTGTGGTGTTAACAGTATGTACTTCAGTGTGCAGAGGACAAAAAGTACGTGTGGTGTTAACAGTATATACTTCAGTGTGCAGAGGACAAACAGTACGTGAGGTGTTAACAGTATGTACTTCAGTGTGTAGAGGACAAACAGTACGTGTGTTAACAGTATGTACTTCAGTGTGTAGAGGACAAACAATACGTGTGTTGTTAACAGTATGTACTTCAGTGTGTAGAGGACAAACAGTACGCGTGTTGTTAACAGTATGTACCTCAGTGTGTAGAGGACAAACAGTACGTGTGTTAACAGTATGTACTTCAGTGTGAAGAGGACAAACAGTACGTGTGTTGTTAACAGAATGTACTTCAGTGTGCAGAGGACAAACAGTAAGTGTGTTGTTAACAGTATGTACTTCAGTGTGCAGCGGACAAACAGTACGTGTGTTGTTAACAGTATTTACTTCAGTGTGCAGGTTGTAAAAAGGATGATTTCTTGCTGACCTGTGTAAAAGTTGGTGCGTGCATCAATTATTCTATAAGTGCAATATGTTATTTTTTAATTACTATTGATGATTACCTGTCGTGTTGTTAACAGTATGTACTTCAGTGTGTAGAGGACAAACAGGACGCGTGTTGTTAACAGTATGTACTTCAGTGTGTAGAGGACAAACAGTACGCGTGTTGTTAACAGTATGTACTTCAGTGTGCAGGTTGTAAAAAGGATGATTTCTTGCTGACCTGTGTAAAAGTTGGTGCGTGCATCAATTATTCTATAAGTGCAATATGTTATTTTTTAATTACTATTGATGATTACCTGTCGTGTTGTTAACAGTATGTACTTCAGTGTGTAGAGGACAAACAGTACGTGTGTTAACAGTATGTACTTCAGTGTGAAGAGGACAAACAGTACGTGTGTTGTTAACAGAATGTACTTCAGTGTGCAGAGGACAAACAGTAAGTGTGTTGTTAACAGTATGTACTTCAGTGTGCCGAGGACAAACAGTACGTGTGTTGTTAACAGTGTGTACTTCAGTGTGCAGAGGACAAACAGTACGTGAGGTGTTAACAGTATGTACTTCAGTGTGTAGAGGACAAACAGTACGTGTGTTGTTAACAGTGTGTACTTCAGTGTGCAGAGGACAAACAGTACGTGCGTTGTTAACAGCATGTCCTTCAGTGTGCAGAGGACAAACAGTACGTGTGGTGTTAACAGTATATACTTCAGTGTGCAGAGGACAAACAGTACGTGAGGTGTTAACAGTATGTACTTCAGTGTGTAGAGGACAAACAATACGTGTGTTGTTAACAGTATGTACTTCAGTGTGCCGAGGACAAACAGTACGTGTGTTGTTAACAGTGTGTACTTCAGTGTGCAGAGGACAAACAGTACGTGCGTTGTTAACAGTATGTACTTCAGTGTGCAGAGGAAAAACAGTACGTGTGTTGTTAACAGTATGTACTTCAGTGTGCAGGTTGTAAAAAGGATGATTTCTTGCTGACCTGTGTAAAAGTTGGTGCGTGCATCAATTATTCTATAAGTGCAATATGTTATTTTTTAATTACTATTGATGATTACCTGTCCTTAGTTATATAGTCTATTAATTAATTCCTGGAAACCATTAAGTGTCCCTGTCTACACTGAAATCTTGTTGGTCGGAACTAAAGAAACATTTCAGAATGTAGATATCTAAATATTAATTCACCATAATGGAATAGCTACGAAAAATGTGTTACAGGTGTAGCAAGTGCTCCACTTTTTTAAAAGTGATTTGATATTACATTGTCTATAAAATAAGCATGGTTTTACCTTGTGATTGTACCTGTCTTGATGTTGCAGTGGTATCGAATGCTTAAGCTGATAATAAAATGAAAATAATGATCTTAAATTGTTTTCTTCAATTCTGTGTTTGATACTTCATCAGCTTTAAACTTTCCCCATTTCACTTTTCCCCCCATTTGCCTGTAGCTTGTTATGGTGTAAAGGGATTAAATTGTTCTGAATCACATGACAAAGTACTAGATTTCGGGGTTCCTCAAGGGTCGGTATATTAGGACCATGAAAATATTGTATGTACTCCAAACCGATTGGAGAGATTTGTCGTCGTCATAGCCTTCGCTATCATTGCTATGCCGATGACACACAAATTTACATGGTCATAAAACCACAGGACAGTTGGAATACAGTCTTAGAAAGTCTGGAAGCTTGTCGGACAGAAATCAGTATCTGGATGAACACCAACATGCTAAAACTTAATCAGGAAAAGACGGAACTAATCGTCTTTTCCCCAAAGTGTCGGCAAACAATGGCTCTCCAGCTCAAGGTTGGCGCCAGAACTATTGAGACTGTTCCAGCTGTTAAAAACCTAGGGGTATACTTTGACAGTTCTCTGAACATGGAGAAACAAGTGAACGCTATTGCCAAATCCTGTTACTACCAGATCAGGAACATCGGCTGTATTTGTCAGTTTCTAACTGCAGATGCATGCCAGATTTTGGTGCATTCACTTGTTACCTCTCGGTTGGATTATGGTAACGCCCTGCTCTGTGGTATAACTGACAAACTAACTAGTCGTCTACAGAGGGTCCAGAACACTGCAGCACGGCTAGTTACTCGTACTCAAAAGAGAGAGCACATCACACCTGCGCTTTATTCGTTGCACTGGTTACCTGTACGATACAGGTCGCAGTACAAAATTCTGGTATACACATACAGGGCACTGAATGGAACAGCTCCTCAGTACCTACAGGAACTTGTTAGCCTGTATCAGCCGTCAAGATCACTGCGGTCGGAGTCAGAATCTTTGTTGTGTGTCCCAAAATCTTGACTGTGACCTATGGAAACAGATGCTTTGGGAGGGTTTCGGCTACGCTGTGGAATAGCTTACCATCTGCTATTAGGAAGTCAAATACCCTGGCCAAGTTCAAGAGGGACATAAAAATTCACCTCTTCACGTCTGCATTTTAGAATCTTTGCAAAGACGTCATGTAAATACCACCCTTTTATTTGTTCAATTATGTGCACATTGCTTGTTAAATGTATGAACGTGATTGAAAGACTTTGTTGTTTGTTTTCACAATTATAACCATTACTATTAACCATATGTTGTAAAGCACCTTAGAGTAATTTTACAAATTATATAGGGCACTATATAAATGCTGTATATTATTATTATTATTATTTTTAAGATTACAGGGATAAGATTTTATAAAATTTCAGATGACTCTGACTCAGAATCATGATTCTATTTAAGCATTGAACTGTTTTTGTAGGACATTTATTATCTATTTGAATGACACAGCTTTGCAAGCAAACAACATAAGGTCACATTTGTCAAATGTTTTTAAAACCTTACTGTTCTGTACAAGGAAGCCTAGAGTCATGATATTTAGTCTAAAGTTTGCTGGAGTGAATAGCTTTGAGGTGTGTTCAATTGGATGACCATTTGGCCCACTTCAGTGAATTAAATGTGTCCAAAACAATGAATAAAGAAACTAGGTCAGTGGTTAAGGCCTGTGGGCCTCTTGTTTATTCATAACAAGAAAATCATGATGATAATAATGCTGTAAAACACAACAATGAGACACATCCTTAAATAAAATCTCTTGTTATTGTCAGCTGTCTTTAAAATTACTAAGAATTTTCTACCTCAAAGGTGAATGGTGTCTGGAAATATGAGTGAATTATGTCACCCTGGTTAAATATTAGCCGCTGCCTACCAACTCGGCGAGAGAGATTTCTCTTTAGCTCATTCTGTGGACCGTAAGACTAGTTAATCAGAGGTCCTGGATTTGACCGCTAGCGGAGTCATTAAAGAAAATAAAGACTTCTGTCATATTTACATATGCATGAAGCTGGTGGCTACACTCCCCATCATTACCTCATCTAGTCATAGTCTTTTATTTTGTGCAAGTTTATGTACCTGGTAAGTTATTCTATACTGTATACAGGAAAATTGTCACCGCAGTTTAGTTTCACTTTCGGCCTCCTCCATAATGAAGGATAATTTATCAGGTTATATAAGTATACAGCATACCATATGTAGTAATTTTAGCAAGTTAAAGCTGAAACTCACATTGGGTGAATGAGGATTTAACCAATGAAGGGTGAAAGTTTCCCAGTATACAGAACAGCTGTACTACCCAAGGTTGATTCGGGTCCACTTTAAATTATATTTTTGAATGACTATAAACATGAGACATCTATGCACAAAGCCACTTAGAACACAGATAACAAGCATATCTTCACATATCACCACTTCTAATGTCAATGTTGTCCCACCCACTCATCCATCTGGTTAAGTTTTGACGATCTGATGAAAAATATATCCCTCTTGATTTTGTAAAGAATACCCGGTAAGTTCATTGATAATTCTCTGTACATATGTAATACGAGTGGAAATCGACCCAAAGACATCATTATTTACAACCCAGGTTGCCAAGTGTACACCCAATACTTAGAACAAGGGTTGGTCACAGGCACCAAATGTAGTAGGAGCAGACAAATGCACGGCCAGACCAGATTTTGAACCTGTGACCGTCTAAACTTAAGACGGATGCTCTACTAATAGAGCTACCTGGTCACCAAACGATCGTATACCATTATACATTTAAAAATTTGAATAAAATAATCTTTGTGATGGACAATGAAAGATGAATGTCTATCGAAGATTTCTATATAACCTCCATATCATCATGAATGACAACTGTGGTCACGCATTTGAGGGGACCTCAAAGACCTTACAAACACAAAGCGACCTCAGACAGTTGTCACAGACCTTATAGTCAATAATTAGTGGATCATATGATGCTACCTCAGACAGTTGTCACAGACCTTATAGTCAATAATTAGTGGATCATATGATGCTACCTCAGACAGTTGTCACAGACCTTATAGTCAATAATTAGTGGATCATATGATGCTACCTCAGACAGTTGTCACAGACCTTATAGTCAATAATTAGTGGATCATATGATGCTACCTCAGACAGTTGTCACAGACCTTATAGTCAATAATTAGTGGATCATATGATGCTACCTCAGACAGTTGTCACAGACCTTATAGTCAATAATTAGTGGATCATATGATGCTACCTCAGACAGTTGTCACAGACCTTATAGTCAATAATTAGTGGATCATATGATGCCTTTTCACTTAAACCTGTGAAACTTGATAGAAGTCAATTACAACAACGACAGAAAACAAATATTAAACAGAAATGGAGGGTGTCTGTAATAAACTAGGAAACTGAACAAATGTCGGAGGTCCCATGCACAACCTATCAAGCTGTCTGGATCAACCTGTAATAAACTAGGAACCTGAACAAAAGTCGGAGGTCCCATACACCACCTACCAAGCTGTCTGGATAAACATCATTTTCTCTCATTTCCCTGTGTGTAAGATAGAGCTGAGGGTAAGAAAGGGGTGAAGGAAATTTCTATCTTACACCCCCTTTCATGTGACGTGATGTCACAATGGCAAAACAATGACGTGACGTCATGAATTTGGAACTCTCCGATGCCGCAATGCTGAAAAAGCGACGTGATCAAATCAAAACCTTTTGCGATATATTTACCGTACACGTTAGAAAGATGGGTTTAATTTTTCTGGGCAACCACTGTTTGCAAACATGGGATATGCTTAATCTGGCTGGCTAATTCGTTTTCGTCTAAAAAGCTCGGGGGGAAAACTTGATATCTTTAAAATGGTGGCCAGTCCAAACGCATTTTCATGGTTTCTGAGCTTATTATTGTGGTTGGAATGAGAGAAAACTACTCTTTCATGCCCAAGGTTGTAGGATAGGGAAAATCCACCCTTGGGATTTCCCTATCCTACACTCCTGTGCATGAAAGAGTCTTATAATCTTTGTGAAATACAAAAAGTCAAATCCTGATATTATTTAGAATTCATGATTATGAAAACAACTTCTGTTAAACACTAAAATATAAAGGAATACTGTTCATTTTTCATTTAACAAGGCAGTTGACTTTATAAATTATACAAAACATATAACGATTCATGCATTCAGGTACCTTGCAAATGTTTTGTAGTTTTTAGATGAATGATAAAAAACAAACAAATATAAAGTCACATCTGTATTCAGTGGTTTGTCACAGGAGACCATAAAATGGCCGCTAAGACAGGTAACCTCTTGGTCGAGGTTCCAATTAATTTGTCAAAAACCAGTTACTTGCATTGTATCTTACAAAGATCTGCAGTAAAAAAAAAAAAAAATACGATCATACAGTTATAGTTTCCATTTCCTCTGAGATTTATGAAACAAGGCTAAGAATTTTTCATTTTAACCAGCCTCTGTCAATCTCAAAAAATGTCATGATCAGTGTCATAAATTTTATACGAAATGGAAAAGATTAAAAGATTCTGTTCATCACATAACCAAGATTTGTTGCAAATACTTGTGATAACAATTTTTTTTCTCTGGCTGACTTGAAATCAAATATATAAATTTCACACGTACAACAGGAAGTATGTGATGCCACAAAGTTGTCATAACTACGAGGTCATAATTGAAATGGTGCAAACCTAAAGACAATCCCAGCTCTGCTAGGTTTTACTAAACATGGGTTCTTAACATAATTTATGTAATGGGTGTTACAACACTGAGAGTAGAATAGTTAGGTGATAAATTCTTCTAGTGACTAAAATGTTTATTCACATGAGCACTGAAAATAAGATATCATGTCATACAAATTTATAACAAAAATCTGCTCAGAGAAATTGACAGATGCCTTGAGAAAAGATTCTATGTTACCGTAGCCTGTTACCGAAGGCACACAGTTCTGCTACACCTGTCGAATACAAATGCTGTCAACGACAGTCCTTCACACCTGTTAAACCTGACTGTCCTTCACACCTGTTAAACCCATCTGCTTTTGAGAAATGCCTAAGCCGACCATTACATCTTGCCACCATGAGAAATGCCTGGGCCGACCATTACATCTTGCCACCATGAGAAATGCCAGGGCCGACCATTACATCTTGCCACCATGAGAAATGCCTAAGCCGACCATTACATCTTGCCACCATGAGAAATGCCTGGGCTGACCATTACATCTTACCACCATGAGAAATGCCTGGGCTGACCATTACATCTTGCCACCATGAGAAATGCCAGGGCCGACCATTACATCTTGCCACCATGAGAAATGCCTAAGCCAACCATTACATCTTGCCACCATGAGAAATGCCTGGGCTGACCATTACATCTTGCCACCATGAGAAATGCCTGACATGTGAAACTTATCACTGAACTACATGCCCGTATCTGGATAATAACAAAGTTTGGCGTATGTAACCAGTATCTTTATTAAAATCAATCATATCTACATCCAATTTTACAGACATCTACAAGATTTTATATTTATTAACAAGTACATATATGAACTCTTTGTTTGCGAGGTTATGTTGTTTGTACATTTCTCTGGAATTGGTACTACAATGTGTATTTACTAAATGCATCGTTGAAGCCATAAGTATCATTGGCCTATTATTTTTTCTGCTACTGTTAAGGAATTATATAATCTGAGAATAAAACAGGTAAGCCTCAATTGTTTTCTTGTGATACATAGCAGCTGTTTGCCAGTATCATTTTAGAGTATGACACCAACGTTTTTCACACCTTCAGTCATTAGATAACTATAATTAGGTAGGCTTTTGGTGCATTCGACAAAAAGTAGTGTAATGTTCCATATTAAAAATTGAAAAAACACAAAATATTTTATTCAACCTGTGCAAAATTGAAATTTTATAAATAAGTTATGAACGAAAATTTGAGAAAATCTATACCTGTGAACGTTAACATCAATACAGTAAACATTGATGAGATGTTCAACTTCTGTTAACCAAATCACCAGCTGTAATGGAATTGTAAATCCCTTAAATTGATTTCAGTCAACATAAATGTCAATACAGTCACAACATTGATCTGTCTTTACAAACTATCGCATAATTGTCCCTCAAAGGATGTTATCTGTCATAGACATGTACTGTTTCAAACATCAAACCTATGTGAATGACTCTACATCTGTATGTATGTAATGTGTGTCTGTGACTGAAGCATCACATATACCTACACATTCACTCCTTCATCACAAGTAAAAACAATTATCTATCAATCATACACTTCTATCCTCATACGCTGATATTTTGAATTGTCTCCGCCTCCATTTTTCCGTCGTTGAAGTTTACTGCGGAGATCGTTGCCACTTCTTACGGTTGGTGACTCGTCCATGTGTGCTCCACTTAACGCTCTGCTTACACTACGAATTTTCTGCCGGGCATCCCGCACACGCGAGGGTGGGGGGCTATCATCATCGTCATCCAATAGACCCACCTTTCTCTCTGTCTCACGGTCAGCAGAAATTGTTAAGTCAATATCACTCCTCTTCATACTGCAAAGGAAAAGTTTTCAAAAAACTTATACAACAGACAATTTATCTACAGGAACATGCAACTGTTTGTCGAAGCCATAGTCATTTAAGCAAATACAGATGAAAAAGTCACTCGACACTGTGTATACTCGGAAAAAAATTGTCTGTATCATAAACTCCTTGAAGACATACCCGCTATCAGTCAGAAATGAATATGGTGTGTTGACTGCTCTATGCAGTTTCTTATTGTTGCCATGTGGATGTTGTATTTATTTACAATAAACCAACTTTTTGTTGTTCAAGCATTTCACTAGTTTTTGCACGGAAACAGATTTTCTATTTATAGTAACGTTGACTTTAACCTTTGATACTTAGACCTGAAAAGCAATCCCAAGCAAGCACTTTTAGTAATGAAGTACTGTATGAGGTCTGAGCATGATCAACCTAGAAAAATTTGAGTTATCGCAAGGAAACAGATTTTTCTTTTTATAGTAATGGTGACCTTTGCAGGTGACACAATAAAAAGAAATAGACCACAAGAAGTTCATTGCTCCATGTCCCTTGTTTTCATAAAAAGGTTGAAAGCAGAGAAAGAAAACAGGACTACTTTCACAATAGACACTTCTGAAATGCATCACAATCACCTTTTAGCATTCCTCTCATCCTCAATGTCATCGGCATACATCCTCATACTGCGTTTCCGTGGCGGTGAGGCCAGGAGGATATCCAGCTCCTGTTCCATCATTACTGCCTCCTCATCAACCTCCTTCACCTCTGGCTTTGTACCAGCTGAGAGGTCCAGGAAATCGTCATCCTCCTCCTCCTCATCCTGCTGCTGTTGTATCTTGCGGCGATCCTCCCTGGGCCGGACATCCCTCTGACGGATAACTGGTCGCACTATCTCCTCAGGCTCACTATCCTCTATTTCACCCTCCTCCATCTCATGCTGGTCCAGAATGGAGAGTTTGCCTGGTAGGCCGGGCAAAATGGCTGGCTTCACTTCCTTGGCAGCACCTAGTTACACAATGAAAAATCAGATGCTAAAATATTATTTACTTAGGCTCCTATACAGTGTAATAACACCATCATATATTCAGACTGCTATACAGTGTAATAACACCATCATATGCTCAGACTGTAATACAGTGTAATAACACCATCATATATTCAGACTGCTATACAGTGTAATAACACCATCATATACTCAAACTGCTATACAGTGTAATAACACCATCATATATTCAGGCTGCTATACAGTGTAATAACACCATCATATATTCAGACTGCTATACAGTGTAATAACACCATCATATACTCAAACTGCTATACAGTGTAATAACACCATCATATACTCAGACTGTTATAAAGTGTAATAACACAATCATAATTATACTCAGACTGTTAAACAGTGTAATAACACAATCATAATTATATTCAGACTGCTATACAGTGTAATAACACTATCAAATACTCAGGTTGTTATAAAGTGTTATAACACCATCAAATACCCACCTTCTGTGTGGTGTAATAACACAATCATAAACTCTACCTTCTGTGTGGTTTAATAACACAATCATAATCTCCACATTCTGTGTGGTGTATTACCACAATCATAAACTCCACCTTCTGTGTGGTGTAATAACACAATCATAAACTCCACCTTCTGTGTGGTGTTATAACACCATCATAAACTCCACCTTCTGTGTGGTGTAATAACACCATCATAAACTCCACATTCTGTGTGGTGTAATAACACCATCATAAACTCCCCCTTCTGTGTGGTGTAATACCACCATCATAAACACCGCCTTCTGTGTGGTGTAATAACACATTCATAAACTCCACCTTCTGTGTGGGGTAATAACACAATCATAAACTCCACATTCTGTGTGGTGTAATAACACAATCATAACCTCTACCTTCTGTGTGGTGTAATAACACAATCATAAACTCTACCTTCCGTGTAGTTTAATAACACAAATTTTCACACAACTGTCTTATACCATCCAATGAGACATTTAATACAAGAAACGACACAATTATTATTAAAACTTACTTGCACTTTCTTTACATCATAATTATAGCGATGGGAATGCCTATAATAATTTTAAATGAAATAATATGTAGTGCTGTAAGTCTTAATTAGCACTAATACATTTATCATTTTATATTTTCATGTTAAAAAAACCCATCCTTGATCAGGACAATACTGTTCTTCATTGCGTGTGCCTTCAATTTTCAACCAAAAATCAATAAAACTGCCAAAATAAACATAAAATGGCTGAAAATGATTATCTTTTTACAAACGTTTTACTTTTTAAAGAGGGTTCTGTTGACAAGGAACATGTTGAAAGAAAAGTTTTTAACAGAATCCTGGACAGAATGTAACAGTAAAGGGACCAACAGTACCAGTGTTAACACATTCTACATACCATTGGACATTCAGTAAGTCTACTAAATACTTACCAAACTCCTCAATTTCATCCATATCTACATTTGCAGTAATGGAAGAATCCCCGAAGATGTTGACGTCGTCGTAGGTAATGGTGGCACGCTTGGCCTGTATAACAGCCTTGACCTCATGTGTCTCCTCACGCTGCTGGCTCACACGCAGCTTCCTCTTTCTGTTTAAATTTTAATTGTGTTGAGAGTTTTTTGTAAAAATGTTTAAATTTTCATTGTGTTGAGAGTTTTTTGTAAAAAGAAATCAAGTTATGAATTCAATTAACTTGTAAATGGTAGATAATTTCAATGGAAGCAGTTAAAATACATGTACCCTGCTTTGGCAACATTGCCTCCATAATATCATACTGGTAATAAGTGAGTAGGGTATACATATAACATACTCTCTAAAATAAATGCAGAACTAAAACAATGTTTCAGATTAATTATAGATACATTTCAAAATGACATACCTGGAATTACTGATCAGCCCTGTCATTCCTGAAACAGAAAGAAATGTCAAGAGTACAATACTTATTGTGTGTTCTAAATTGTTTTGTAAATGTGGCTAACAATTTGGTAGCCTTCAAATCGGAGCTATCTACTTTCTCCCTAATGTGATGTCTCAGGAATGTCTAATTAGTCCACAAAATCAGCTGACTGAGACCCCCTCTGTGTGTTTACTGAGACCTCCTCTGGTTGTTTACTGAGACCTCCTCTGGGTGTTTACTGAGACCCCCTCTGAGTGTTTACTGAGACCCCCTCTGGGTGTTTACTGAGACCCCCTCTGGGTGTTTACTGAGACCTTCTCTTGGTGTTTACTGAAACCTCCTCTGGGTGTTTACTGAGACCTTCTCTTGGTGTTTACTGAGACCTCCTCTGGGTGTTTTATGAGACCTTCTCTTGGTGTTTACCGAGACCCCCTCTGGGTGTTAACTGAGACCCCCTCTGGGTGTTTACTGATACCTCCTCTGGGTGTTTACTGAGACCCCCTCTGGGTGTTTACTGAGACCTTCTCTTGGTGTTTACCGAGACCTCCTCTGGGTGTTTACTGAGACCTTCTCTTGGCGTTTACTGAGACCCCCTCTGGGTGTTTACTGAGACCCCCTCTGGGTGTTTACTGAGACCTTCTTTTGGTGTTTACTGAGACCTCCTCTGGGTGTTTACTGAGACCTTCTCTTGGTGTTTACCGAGACCTTCTCTTGGTGTTTACTGAGACCTTCTCTTGGTGTTTACTGAGACCTTCTCTTGGTGTTTACTGAGACCTCCTCTGGGTGTTTACTGAGACCTTCTCTTGGTGTTTACTGAGACCTTCTCTGGTGTCAAAATCTGTATTTCTCCATTTCTCTATTTTAAATCACACTAAATTCCTACTAACCAGTATGTCTAAATCTGTATTTCTCTATTTTTCTATTTTAAATCACACTAAATTCCTACTAACAAGTATGTCTAAATCTGTATTTCTCCATTTTTCTATTTTAAATAACACTAAATTCCCACTAACCAGTATGTCTAAATCTGTATTTCTCCATTTCTCTATTTTAAATCACACTAAATTCCTACTAACAAGTATGTCTAAATCTGTATTTCTCTATTTCTCTATTTTAAATAACCCTAAATTCCCACTAACCAGTATGTCTAAATCTGCATTTCTCCATTTCTCTATTTTAAATAACACTAAATTCCTACTAACCAGTATGTCTAAATCTGTTTTTCTCTATTTCTCCATTTTAAATCACACTAAATTCCCACTAACCAGTATGTCTAAATCTGTATTTCTCCATTTCCTCTTCACACTCTCCTGAACAGGCATCACTACATATATCTAGTTTTCCAGCGTGGTAGAGCGACATATATTGTAGAAGTAGAAATGTATACAATGCATTATCAAGATTGTATTAGGAGTGGAAATCTACAAGTGAATGGTCTAGCCCTGGATTCAAACTTCAGACCCTCTAAAATGTACTTTAATACATTATTATTTCTATTTCATAATTTCTAAAATACCTTGGACATCAAACCCAGGAAAGAATAGCAAATGGTGATCCGATACACATACCTCCATAATTTGGGTTTCCAAACTTCTTGTAATATTCACTTCTTTTCTCGGCTCCTCTAATTTTTTTATCAGCTGCAACACAATAAAAGACAAATATCAACGCTTTTTCAATTATCTTTTAGTTCTTGCTAGTTTTTTAAATCTATTTTATCTGAATTTGAAGTTATACAAATATTGTCATAATTTGACATAGTCATATGCCCAGTGATGAAGTGTAAGTACACTAGCCTATGGTCAGTGTTAAAGAGCACACTCCAGGCTGTTACATAAGGCTCACCTTTAGTAGAGTACCGTAGGAATATATGCTTAGTCTTTGGAATGACCTTGCCAAGTCGCCATCTACCTGGTGGCCAAGCTATATCAGACTCTTTTTGAACGTGGAAACGTTGTCGAAGTTTTGCTTTCTTGCTGGCTTTTTTCTCCATTTTTTTCTTCTCAAGTTTTTTTTTCTTTTCTTCATCCATTTCCTGAAAATGCAAATTTAATATCAGTTTCAGCAATGATTGCTCCATATATAAGCCTCAGATCTCATGGTTTCATTATTCTCTTATACCAGGTAGGAGTGCATTTCTCTTATACCAGGTAGGAGTGCATTTCTCTTATACCAGGTAGGAGGGTTTTTTCTCTTATACCAGGTAGGAGTGCATTTCTCTTATACCAGGTAGGAGTGCATTTCCAAGAAGCTTTTAGACTATTGGACTTTATCCAGTTAAAACCATTGGGAAATGTATATTGAAATATTGGTTTAGATTTGTGAACTCACCCATCAACTATTATTGTTATTTGATACCTTGTACCCTCTTGTCTTCATTACAAATCTGATCCTTTCCCAAAGTCTGCTTTTTTCTGTGAATGTCTACTGATTTCTGTGATAGATAGGTGACAGGTGTATACAGTTTAGTTTTGTTTTATATTGGTTTCCATCCTATAATCAGCTGAGGTAATTTAAGTGTGTGTNGGTGGGGGTGGGGGTGGGTGGATGTGTGTGTGTGTGTGTGATTATGATATGTAAGCTGATGGTGCTATGTTGTTGTAATCGCCTCCTTGCAGTAGCACAGATCTGATGCCAACTTTATAGTGCTACCTCACCGAAATACCACACAAAAAGCATTCAGCACAGTATTCCACTTGGTCCCACTACACTGACAAGGGTGAATCAGTTGTTGTGATTACCTAAATGCTGAATGCATGCATGTTTATCACTAGCACCAAAAGAGAGGTATTGCCAAGGAAAGTGTTAATAAACACAAAATGTTGTTTGGAAGTTGAGAGAAAATATGGTGATCCCAAACGCATTTATTTTGATCACTTTTGTGTTCCCCAAAGAAAAGGCAATAAAGCAAATCCCCAATTTTGCTGGGGGTTATCAGAATAGTTGCCTCTGATAACTTTCAGCAGGTAACAGCAGGTATATTCTTTTCTAAACCACACACCTGCAGGTGTGTTTAACAGGTGCATGTTTGTAAAATTTGTTTGTGACAGGTGTATGTTCTAGATTGATGTGACAAAGTTGCAGGTGTGACAGGTTTATATGACAGGTTTACATGATGGGTGTGTAAATCGTTTCATGTGACTATAAAGTTCATACAAAATATCTTATCCGGTATCCATTTTATATTACCTCATCTGAACTACTAGAAGAACTGCTCCCGGACGATGAAGATGATGAGCCAGATGATGACGTTGCAGAAGAGCCTGATGAAGATGATGATGACGACGAACTACTAGAACTTGATGAAGAGTCTCTCCTTTTTTTGTTTTTCTTTGTACTCTGAGAAGATTTTTTCACTGAGCTTTTCTGTTGTTTAACCACTGTGTTTTCTTTCTTTTTACTGTCTCTACTGCTGGCCTTTGTTTCACTGATGTCTTTTTTCACACCGACAGCCCCGTCGTCCATCAAATCTAACACATCTTCATCCTCCATGTTCTCCTCCTTCCTCTGCTCTGTGTCTCTTGTCTTTGTTTTTGTTTTTGATTTCTTCTTTTTGCCATCATTTTCATCACTTGAGGATGATGAAGAGGATGAAGAGGATGATGATGATGATGAAGATGAACTGCTGCTACTGCTTCTCCTTGATTTCTTCGTCTTTGTTTTCACCTTTTTCCTCGAGTTTCTTTTACCTAAAACATATTGAGATCCTTTCCTTCATCATACTTTAAATCTATGACATTACAAAATATTTTTACAAAAAAGAAATGTTCCCGACTTTGGTAAAATATCCTGATGTAGCTACATCCTTGCCAACATTTCAAATCTTTCTTTGGGGAGAAACTGCGCTGGACAATCTAAAAACGGTCTAAAGAAAATTCTAGATGCCAATTATTTGAAAAATAATGTAAATGACTGTTTAGCTTTTCTGAGTAATGAATTAATTTTAATTGGAGCAAAATGATTCTGCAGATTTCATACCGCCAATAAGGACGGTGAGAATTGGCAAGTACCATGCAGTCTTAGAATTCACGATTTACCACACTATAAACAACAGGTCTTTGTAATATTGATTTCTTATAGATCTATTGAAATTTCAATAGACCAGACTTTGACCGGGTAAATTGTACTTAATATTATTAAGTTGCTTGATAACATGAAATATTTACATAAATTTGCATGGCATTGTACGTCACTATATAGTCTATTTGGAAGCTGTGTCATTGATGGGACTTTAAATACCATGCAGCACAAGACACAATTCTTAGCATATTAATACAACACCTACCGGAACTACAATATCTAATGTAAATAAACATGACGGCTGCTAGATATCGTTGGGCATTATTAGTGTGAGACTTGATCACAATGTAATTGTAAATGTGTAAAAAAATAAAAATAAAAAATAAACTTTTATTATAACCAAATAATTTACCAAGGTTTACAATATTGTACAAAATGCACATTGCCCGGTTGAAATAACCAATGGAAACAATTTTAACACTCATGCAAATTATCAGAAATATCGTTTGTTACACTGCACTGATCCACAGGGGTTCGTTACAAATGTCTGAAATACACATATGCTATAGACCCACAGCTCACATAAATATACACAAGGCATATATGTTTTTCAAACATTTGTAATGAACCCCTGTGCACTGTCGCAAGATCACATGCTTCAAATGTTATCAGTTTCATGCGTCTATCAGTCACGGTATCCTCCGTTTCTGCTGTTATGGTAAATAACGAGTCTGTTGTAGAATCTACCGACTGTAGTCAGGTTCCCATACAATCAACAAATACATTCACGCATGGATTCTTCACAAATTCAAACTTTTCTCTCTGCTCATTCAACTTCAAAAATTAACTCCCTCGTGGGGGGCAAGGTCGGATTACGGTGTTCACTGTAAAAAGATATTGACAGTGTATAACACTGTGTACAAACTTGTCTCTACCGACAGTGTATAACACTGTGTACCACCCAGTCTGTACCGACAGTGTATAACACTATACAACCTAGTCTGTACCGACAGTGTATAACACTGTGTACCACCTAGTCTGTACCGACAGTGTATAACCCTGTATACCACCTAGTCTGTACCGACAGTGTATAACACTGTGTACCACCTAGTCTGTACCGACGGTGTATAACACTGTGTACCACCTAGTCTGTACCGACAGTGTATAACACTATATACGACCTAGTCTGTACCGACAGTGTATAACACTATACAACCTAGTCTGTACCGACAGTGTATAACACTATACAACCTAGTCTGTACCGACAGTGTATAACACTGTACACAACCTAGTCTGTACCGACAGTGTATAACACTGTATACGACTTAGTCTGTACTGACAGTATATAACACTGTGTACGACCTAGTCTGTACCAACAGTGTATAACACTGTGTACCACCCAGTCTGTACCAACAGTATATAACACTGTGTATCACCTAGTCTGTACCGACAGTATATAACACTGTGTATCACCCAGTCTGTACCAACAGTATATAACACTGTATACGACTTAGTCTGTACCGACAGTATATAACACTGTGTATCACCTAGTCTGTACCGACAGTATATAACACTGTGTATCACC